TTTATGCAGTAGCAGACACGTTTTATGAGGCATCGCATTGCATCTTTCATCGCCTCCAGTCAAGGAATGTTTTTTTGGGGTTCAGATGGGGGGATCTACCATATAATGGATGCACACGCGCCGGTCCCGGAACTATTAAGATTTATGTGTTCTCAGATAAAGCGTTTATGTGGTCCCATAAAGATAAGACTTGTTTAAGCATAAATAGCTTGAAATTTTGTGGTAGAGTTGGGATAGGGTGTTAGGTATATATATAGAAAGGTGGAAAGAATTTTAGGGAATACAGAAATTCCTGGGATATTTAGGAAATTAAAGAGTTTTTCATGTATATCCTCTACATTTTTCTATCAAAATAACTTTATATACTACTCTTCCTAAAACTATACCAACTTGCCAACAAAATTCTTGCCAATTATACCCCCATTTAACCTCGATTTCCTGGCGCAGTGTTTTGCATTTTGCATTTGCAATTATTTCTTCTGTTTGTTGCATTTTACATGGCAATAAACCTTTTGGTCGTTGCAACGTTCGCCCCCGTCAAGACAAAAGAACTAAAAGGTGAAACTTAAACAACATGCTAACCCCATTTCTTAGCCCGAAGGAGAAGCGAAAGAGAGGGAGCTATAAAAACTAGAAAGAGGCGACACATAAAAACACGACTGACAACAGCTGTTGGCTGTCACAAAAGTGATCTACCTCAACAAAGGTATTTTCCTGTTTCTAAATTTTTCTTTTTAAGTATTAAATATATATTATATTTGTATAAAAAATATATATAAACATATTCCAGTCACAGTTAGTTACCTATTCATTATAAAAAGAAGACCCAACCAACCCTCTTTTCTCTCTCTTCGATATTTTGTACTGGCAGCAGAGCGTTAAATGAATTTTGTGCCGACTTCTCAAGGCAAGTTCTTAGACAAAAGTCTAAACAATTTACATATTTAGCTCTCCGTTTGCCAGGCTTTTCTTTTGTTTTGACTGTGACCGTTGAGCAAGTATCTAATTACCAAGAAAATGCAATGGCTGGCTAAGTTTGAAATATTTTACTTGGTTTTTTTTCTATTTTAATTTTAGAATTCTAGCAGACTAAACATTCATTTAGTCTTATCAAAGTCACTTTTATAGGCAAGTGCCCTTGTCAAAGCTTAATAAATACACACATATAAATAAAGGTCAAATTGAGGGCCAAATTTAAAGCTGTATAATACTGATAACGATTTTAATGGGCTTAGAGAAGCGACTTTTAATACAGAAAATATTTTAAATAAAAACAAAACATTTTAAAAATATTTTAATCAATGTAGAGGTTATACAAAATATTTTCCAATAATTTTCATTCATTAAATTAATTGTTTAGAGAATTTAAACTATTTTACAATTACTTTACAACATTACTTTTCAAATTCTATCTAAGCCAAATCAATTAAAAACTCTATTTTTTAATAAAGTAATTTCTCTTTTTAATTTCTTTATTTTTTTGTCAGCTCAGTCTCTTGAGATTTCCATATCTTTCAACAATTTGCTGCCTCATATGTGCCTGGCTGGCAATAAAAAACAAAGCATGAAAGAAAATTATCATTAGCTGCTCTTCAACAAAATTGAATTCCACAAAAGATTTGCATACAATGAAAGGAGAAGAAAAGAGAAGAAAAGCCAAGAGATGCAGCAAATATAAAGAGGAGCTCATTAAATGCAAATTTTATTATTTTTTTCTTGTTTTTGTACCTCTGCTGTGCATTTTCCATGCAACAAAGTAAGGCAAGCGAAAACGTCAGAAATGTATACAATGATTGAGCAAAATATATATTATCAGGAATGTGGAATATTTAAGCATTTTTTTAGAGAATTTTGAAAGAGTTTTTGAGCGGTGTAAATATATGAAAAATTATCTTATCATTAAATATTTAGATAATGTTTTTATTTATCAAGGTTTAGGTAATTTTTTAAAATTTTTTTGAGATATTTTTTTTAAATATATTCGTTTTACTCGAATTTTCGCGATTTTTGAATCGTTTAAACACTCCAATATTTACACAACATTTTCCACATTTCTCTCACATAATTTTTAACCGTTTTGTATATATTTTAAATATTTTATTTAAATTTAATAATTACAGAGGAAGCCGGGGGAAAATTCGATTAAAGCACGCGAAACGCGAAAAGCAAACTGAATGAACCAGAAAATTCAGGGGCAAAAAATAAACTGAGGCAATCGAAGAAAGAGAATCTGAGCATAAGAGCAGGCACAAAAGCCGCTCAAAGAGCGTAATCTTTATAAATAGGAAAGAAAGAATAATAATAATCAACAAACAAGAGCAATGACAGCAGCAAGAGCGATCCCCCGAAAAAGAAAACTTTTTCGCCATATGTACGAGGGTGAACATATGGTCTTTGACTCACGAACAGCGCATAATTAACAGGAATTTTTGTATACATATATGACCTAAGAACCCCTCCCAAAAAATCCCTTTCCATATTATTTCTTACTTAATTTTTCATTACAAACAAAAGCGTAAGTGAATATAAGCATGGACACGAACCATGAAAATAACAAAAAATAAAAAGGAAAAGCGAAAAGCTAAATTAACGGGACCCCCTTGGTTTTGTTGATGTCATCAGCGGATTTTCCGTTCTTCTTCTGGTTTTCAGTTATTGTTGTTGCCTTTGCTTATTGGTTTTTATGTTATTTTTCAGTTCCGGTCCGTTGTCTTCTTCTTTTTCTTCGTCTGACTGTCCGCCACGAGCTGTTTGCCGTTAGAAATATATGCCTACTAATTGACGGGCCATCCACTAATGAAAGAATATTTTCTTAGCAAAACTTAACGGTGGAAAATTAATGGAAAATGCTAAGTAAGAGGTATTAAGAGAGGAAGGTACAGCAGGTGTTGTTTTGTTTTGGAGGAACTTGAAGCTAGGCTAATTCAAGGTTTTTTTTTTAGAAAACCTTTAACAATAGGTAAATTATTATATCAGGGGTTTTTAGAAATTAAAACTGAAAATTTAACTTAAAATCCAATTAAAAAAAAAGCAATGATCTTTTTACTGATCACAAATGGCCATAAATTTTGTTTTTCAATATTTTGTTGCATACTTTTAGACTGCATTTTAAGTGATTTTAAATACTGCTTAAATTTCTGTTCATGTTAAGTTTGTACATTAAACAGGGTTTTTTTTTCGATTTGTATATTCTAGTTTGCAACAAAAAAAACCAAAAACTTTTTACGAAAGCTTAATTATTAATTCATGAAATTAAAACCCTAATTATTACTAGCTTTAGTTCATAATCTAGTTTAATTTTGAGTAATTTTTTCACTATTATTCTCTTCACTATCTGCCTTTTTGTCCATCCATAACTGCCACAGTTTTTTTTATCAATTTACAATGCCTCATATCAAACCATCGCTTAACGCTTCTGTGTTATTTATTTTATATATATTTTTTATTTTCTTTCATTTATCATCAATTTCATCGTTTATCAATTTTATGCAACACTTGATTTCCATATATATTTTTTTTCTTCCACAAAACACTCGGCAGACTTATTCAACCGCACTTTTCAATTTAAGATCAATCAAGCAATATTCGCCCCGAGGCCATGGAAATGGGAAAAGAGGGGTTTTACTTTGATTAAGGTTTCTTATTTCTCACAACAGACGCCATATAATATATAATTAAGGCAAGGGGCTGTTGTTTCTTTTGCTTTCATATTAAATAATCGTTTAATGAGCCAAAGCGGGCACCTGACACAGCTGATAAACGATTTCGATCGATAAAAAATAAAAGGAAAACACCAAAAAATTAACACACACTCGCGACGAAACGAAGGTAATTTTAGTTGAATTTCAACTTAATTTTCAACCTTTTTTTTTGTTGGATTTTCACGAGGGCAGCGCCAGCTGCAACTGCATTTTCCTTTGCATTTTCCTTTGCAATAACAACAACAACAAACCGCACGCAAGCCACCCGCGCGAGAGGGCGTCGTGAGAGAGCGAAGAGAGCCCGCGGCCGTTCGCTTCGCTGCTCCGCGTTTTTTCGTGTTGTGCACGCGGCAAGAGTTAAATGCAATCTGAGAGGGAGAAAAGCGGCGAAAAAGCAGCGGAAAGCAGTCGCTGCTGCCTCAGCTGGCGCTGCCGTCGACGCCGGCAGCGACCGCGACTTGTTTTGGGTGTCCAAAAAAATGGGAGAAAAAAGAGGGGGAAAAACAAAACAAACCAAAACAACAGAGAGCCCCAAAAGCAAAGGCAAAACAAAGGCAATGGCAAACTAGAAAAATGCGACTAATTCGACTTAGTAGTGCTGGAAATTCGTATTGCCAAAAGGGAAATTCTAAGCACTGGGAAAAATAAATGGGAAATAATGTTAAAGAAAATGTGTTTTAACTAATTTTATTTTAGTTTCGTATATTATTATGGCTTTAAAAAATCATTTTTAGGCAATTTTGCTTTAGTTTTTAAAATGTTTAGATGGTATATCCAGAATTAGTGGTAAATGTTAATATAATTTAGAATAATATTTAAAAAAATATATATTATGACTCATTTTTCCATATAACAATTTTTAAAAATTTAGTTCTGTTTTTTCCTAGTGTTTTTGATAGATTTTTTTGCAAAATGCATGGGGTAAAGTGGAAAAAAATACGAAGGGGGCAAGGAAAATGACACAAAAGCAAGCAGAATCGAGTGGAAGGAATCAAAAGCGACATATGCCCGAGCATCACTTGAACCAAATTGAGTCAATTAAATGTAATGTGGAAGAAAAATCAAAAGTAGAATGAGTCAGGAAAATAAGTACTTCAGATGATTCAATGGAATGCATTTGAAAGAGTTGTAATTCTAATAAAATATATAGAAAAAATATAAATAACATGATTAAGAAGAGAACAAGACTTTGAAAGACTAAAAATGTAAATATTAAGTAAACGCCAAGTGGAACCTTTTTTTTTATATTTTAGGGAAGAGACCTGAAGCTTTTTAAACTAAAATTAATAGAAATATTCATTTTCAATATATGTATATATTTTTTTCAATTTGTTTAGTGTAATATAATTTTGAAATTCGTGTATCTGCTCGAGTATATCGTGACATTTATATTTAGTGCTTTTGTAATAAGTGTGATTTTGATCTTATTTGAAAAAGAAATTATATATTCAAGATAGTGAAGATGACTTTTCTCCCTTCCTAAAGAGCCCCACAGTCTTCAATTACGATCTTCTTGCTTGTGTTTCCATTCTTCGATCCATAGGATTCCACTTTCTGGACTATATCCATGCCCTGGACAACCTTGCCAAAAACCACATGCTTATTGTCCAGCCAAGTGGTTTTCCCAGTGCAAATGAAGAACTGGGATCCATTGGTATTGGCACCAGAATTGGCCATCGACAGGATACCCGGGCCCGTGTGCTTCAGCTCAAAGTTCTCATCGGCAAACTTGTTACCGTAGATGGAACGACCACCAGTTCCATTCGCTCTGGTAATGTCACCACCTTGGCACATGAAATTCGGTATGACACGATGGAAAGGAGATCCCTTGTAGCCATAACCCTTCTCTCCAGTGCACAGAGCTCGGAAATTCTCTGCCGTCTTGGGCACCACATCTGGACGTAGCTCCAGTACAATCCGCCCGATTTTTTCATCTCCTGCAGCAATGTCGAAATAAACACGCGGCAACGACATCTTCGCAAATGCCGAAAATTTACGTAAGAAAGCCAGATCTATTAGAGTTAATAACTAACCAAAGTTGGGCTTATACTATGAACTATTTTAATATTTACCGAAAGAGTTTTTTAAGGGGGTTTGTGAAATAAAATCTCAGGAGATCCTTGCCGGTGAATGGTAGAAGTTAAAATGAATTATTTTATTTTTTTTAGGTTAATTTGAAAAGAATTAAATTCCAAAGCCTACTTGACATACATTGAGATATTTATAATTTAAATAAACTCACAGTTAGCTGAGTATATTTAATAAAAAATTTTTGCTTTAAAGAAACACACTTTAAAATTATATCTGAAAATTACAAATAAATTTACTCTATTTCTTATATATTCCTTACTTATTTCACAATCGCATATACCCACCCATTTTCCTTATCTTTATGGAACAAAAGTCCATAGACTTTTGCCATTTTTATTGACTTTTATCATTTGTTTAAACGAGACTCTTTAATCAACGCCAAAGCCCGCAAATTGGAAAACGTTTAAAAGCTAACAATATTTGATTTTCTACTATATAAATACGTATGTTTATGTATGTTTTGTTTATTTGTAAAATTAAGCACAAAAATTCAGCAAATATTTAGATGACAAAACAAATAAAGAAGTAGCTCCGTAACTGGTAGAAATATTAAAGTTTTCGAGAAGTCGCAATTGCAATTTGAATTCATTATTTGTTTTTAATTCAATATGCACATATAGCACTCCTTTAAAATCCCACTATATATATACCGATTTGTTTGGGTCTTGACTGTTTTTTGTATACATATAATAGTTGCCAAGGCAACTAATGCTTTTAGCGCTTCCAAAGAATCGTAAGGTAAGTTAAGGTTGGTGTACGATAAGATTGGCTAGCAACCGAGCGAATTGTAAACAGAAAAACTTTAGAAAAGTAAGGCAAGTTAGGTACAGGTATATAGGGGTGGCTTGGTTCAATGTATTTGATAATCAAAGCTATATATATCTTAAAAAATATAAAACAATTTCCTTAAACTCTTCCTTTTACAAAATACCAAAGTTCAAGATGATTTGCCAAAAGCTATAAACTCTGAAAAATCAGTAATTCACACGTCTACTATCCACTGTCTCATTATTTATAATAAATTGTTGTGGCCAAGACAAGAAAAGAAACACAGGCCATAGTTGGCTGGAACAAGTGCAGCCTCAACCTCAACTAAAACCGATTCGTTTCGATTCGCTTTTGACTAGTTACCCATTAATGTAACGCCCCGTTTGCCTTGGACAACCTTGTGCGAAAAAAACAAAAAAATAATATAAAAAAAAATAAAATAATGAACGTAATGACGTAATGGAAAGCGTAGGATTTTGCTCCCACTGCCACGCCCCCGAACAAAAGAGCAAAGGCGCCTCTTTTCTGAACTCGTGTGGGAACATAAATTCACATTATGGCCAATTCTTTGAGGCGATTTTCAGCTTAGATAAAGACCAGCAACACTTTTGTGGGTTCGTTTTTAACACTTACCTCACGGAATTGTTAAGATAAAAGTGCTTGAGGTAGTTTGTGTTGTGCTTACCTGGAAGTAAAGGAAAAACAAAAGAACGAATTATTATTAGATTTGGGCTGTCGACAAGAAACGTAGGATAATAGTGTTATGGTAATAAGGAGAATGTAAAGTCAACATTTTAACTGAAGTTTAAGAGGGGGAAAAATAAGCAAATAAAGATAATCTTGGGAGGTAGGAAAATTACAGCATAAAATAGACTGGCATTAGAACAAGGCCTAAAGCGAGGTTATTAAAAGAAGATTACTTAGATAAACTATAAATGTATTTTTATGTATTTTAAGCTATATTTTATAGTAATTAATTCTTAGCAAAAATAACCAAATAAAACCTTATTTAATAAAAATGTTCCTTAGCATTTTTAGCCCCTAAAATATCCTAAAAAAATCCCCTACTAAATATTTATCACTAAGCCTCCAACAAACCTCATCATCGATCGATTTATCACCTAAAAAGCAGCAAAGAAAAACGGCTTCTGGCACCCACTTCCCATAAAGAAAAATAAAATACAAAATACCACTGAAAATGAGCTTTTGTCTAGCAGTTCGTGCCACCTGCCATAGGGTCTTTCTGTCTGTCTTATCGATTAAACAATTTCGCTGGCACCTTTGACGCCCACCTTAAGACCCCGTCACAACATAAAAAGCATAGAGCCGCCACGAATACGAAGATACTGAGGAATAATACGAAAAATGCGACTAAAAACCATAAACGAAAATCAATTTTTAACCCAAATTGTGGCGTTGACCCAGAAACCAACGAAAAATCGAAAATCTTAAAGACAAAGAGAGACCCACACTCGACGAAGTGATGCATAAACGTTGCAATTATCATAATTAATGCAAATGCGCCTTAAAGTAGACCGAAAGAAAAACGAATTAAATACTTGGAGACGTTTACGAAAAAAAAACGTTTATTTTAAATTGAGGGAAAAACTGTTTTTTTGTGAGGGTATAAATGAGGCAAGTAAATTGTAAATTGTTAGGAAAGGTAGAGAGAAGGGAAGCCTAGTCATACTTTTATTGAATTTAATTGAATGAAGCTTTTAAAAAATGTGGGTAGATTGATTTAAAGCGGGATTTGTAAGCCTTAAGCCTTGATTTAAGTAAATGTGTTTAAATTTGGAATTTTTTTAGTTTAAAAATTAGTCAAAATAATGAATTAAATATAGGATCATTGATTACTAAGCTCAAAAAAATTCTAAGAACTATACAGTCATAAAGAGAATTATTAACAAGGGCTTAAAAATATTAAGAAATAATTCTTATATGAATAAAAAAACAAAAAAAATAATTATACCAGTAAACAAATACTAGAAATATATATATACTCAAGATTTTTATTAAACCAAGAAGTCTGGAATACATAATTCTTTCATAAAAAAATATAAATAAAATAATTCCACTTATTTTATAAAAATAACAATTTCCTTAACACCTGAAGCTTCCTCCACTCCTGCCAACTTCAGCTTCATTTTATATTCCCTCCGATTCTATTTATGCATTCTATTAGCCAGACACCTGGCCCGTAGTTTTGTTTATGCCACGACGATGCCTTGTAGGTGGCTGTTTCCAGTCAACGCCTTCATCAATGTGGCCAAGATATATATGTACGTAAAAAAGACAAGGCAAGAAAGATATTCAATTCGGAAGATTACCAAATCCTAAACAGTTTGCTTGGGCAACTCTCAAGTGATGTCGTCACCGCCAGAGATATACATACTCCACTTGTGCATGTATTAACCCAAAAAAAAAAAAGAAAAACAGATTTCTACCCCACATCTCTCAGCGTCTCTGACAATTGAACAAATTGCAATTGTGGCATTGTCTTGGGCCTGCCTACAGTTATAATTGCATAAGTGCGACGATGCAAATCCAGGCAAAACTCTTGGCCCAATGCAGATTTTAATCAACCCTCTGACAGCTCGCTGGGAAAATGGTAAAGAGAGATGAGATGTCAAGATCGCGGGAGAGAAGGAGAGAGCTAGCCTTATGTAAGATTTTTCCGGTTCAAGCGATTCTTTTCTTCCGGGTGTACAGACTGACCTCGGCTTAATTAAGCCAACGGAGCATTGAGAAAAATTAGTTGGGGGGTTTCCCCCCAAAAACGAAAGGTGAAAGAAAGGAATTAAATAGAAAATCGTATTTGGTGCAGTGAAAATCTTTTTGGATACGCTTAACACTTTTCTGGGCATCGGGCCAAGGTGAGATGTGGAAAGTTTTCACCTGTCCCTATTTTGTGAGAGAAATTTGGGTTTAAAAAAATAAGTGAAAGATATTTTAAGGTGTTTTTAAGATTAAGAATTCAATTTTAAATTAAATGTTTAACAAGTAATACAGGTAAATATAATAAACTAAATATTTAGAACACAGAAATTTGTAGATATAATTTTTCTTGATTTTTGAGAAAATATTTAAGGCACTAAGCTTGCTTTTTTTGTAAGAAATAATAATTTCTTTTACTTTTTCCATCAAATAAATTACAAATTAAATAAAAAACTACCAACTGACACTTCATTAATGTCCCCATATTTTTGTTATAATTAAAACCCCTTATATAGACAAAGTTTCCAGGCAATAACCCATCTCCTTCTGGTCATAAAACCTTTTGTTTTTCCCCCTCTTTTTTCATCTTAGACCTCATTTTGTATGCAGCGCCAAGTTTCACACAACAATCAAGCCAAATGCGAGGCACTTCTTATGACTTGTAATGATCTTTTGGCCCACACGAGCCTCCTCTTCTTTCCTCATTTCCTTAACCTCACCTGTTCCCTGTTCCCTTTTCCCTTTTGGCACAAATTCCACACTTCCGTTTCCCTTTTGGCCTGTTGCATAAAAGAACAATAGCACCAAGAGTCGCTTAAAAATTGATTCGTACGTGAGATTTTTTCGCAAAAAAAATATCATTTTCACTCCAGTATGTGTTTTATTTTTCCGTTTTGTTTTTTCCTGTACACTTCTCCACCTTTCCTTTTTATTATTTGTATGGCAGGCGGTTTTCATATTCCCTTATTTGTTTATTTTCTGCAATTATGCAGATAGACACATGTGTATATCCCTGTTATTTGCTTTTTACCGGAAATCTTTAGCTTTAAGTTGGCAGGAAAGAAAGCCGTTGTCTTTTGCATATTAATGAAAACGTTTGTAATTTCATTTGGATTTGCAAATTGATGATGAAAATATTTATAATTGATTTTAAAGTTGAAAACTTGTGAAGAAAATTTGAAAGAAATAACTGAAAGGTGTTCAAAACTAAGAAACTTAAATAAAAAATGTGAATATAATTTTATTGTGTGGATTTTTAACTTCTAAAAATGGTTTAGAATTTTTAAATGTATGTCTATAAAATTTAAGAAAATAATTACATTGTTTTTATGTATGTTTTAGCCCAAAAATTTAATTAAGAACCACTACCAACACTTCATATCTCTATTTTAAACTTGTAAATATTTTTTAGCAATCTTAAATTGCTTTAAAATATGAACAAAATTAAATGAAAAAAGAAAATAGTGCAAATTAAAACTAGATAGTCCATAAATCATTAAAAAAATACTTCGATGTCTTTTTTTGAATTTATAAATATTTTCAACAACTTTTCCTGGCTCTAAAGTATGCAAAATATCGTCAGCCAAATCATAAACAATAATGTACATTTTTTGTTTTTTTTTTATTTTTTATCTTGTAACATACCTACTAAAAATTTATTTTTTATGTATAACTCATCGCCCATGGTTTTTGATCTCTGTCTCGCATTTTCCAGATGTTTCCCATACAAGAAAACAGATAATAAAAAGGAAAATCTCCTACTTGCCCCGCGGCCAATCTAATTGGCAGTAATTCCAAGGGAGGCCATTCCAAGTGAATTTCAATGACCTTGAGGCGCCAATGCACTCCTCCCCCTATTTGGCCATTCGACTGAAATGCTTTTGCTTTTTTTTTTTTGCTTTATATAACAGCGAATGGAGCACAATCCGATTGGATTCACCGATTGCAACCCACACTCAAGACCGAGGCGCTGAATTTCACCTGCCAGGTAGCCATGATCAGCGAAGAAGAAGGTGACTGCCACGGCAATTGAGGGAAAGAAACAAAAACAAAAAAAAATAAATAAAACACGTTTTACATAGCTGCGAACTGATGAGCCAAAGTGAAAAGTCACAAAGTCACTTTTCCAGGGAATCATTTTCTTTCCCAACGAATACATTTCGTTTCGCAAAAAATGAAATCACAAAAACAAACGAAACATTTTTGGAATTTCAAAAACACATACATGAAAGTTGGGAGATTATTTTTGTGATTGCGAATTCGGTTCAAGTGCAGATTATGGCCCCCTCGCTCAGCATCATCAGCAATTTCTTTGGTGAATTATTGTCAGCCATTGACAGTTTTGTACACATTTTTAATACTTTTTTTTAGCTTAATCATGCTGTAGGAGATTTATTTTTAAGCTTTTTTTTTTTGCTAAGGAAATTATGCAAGACAAATGTGAAATAATTCAAAGAAACTAATTTAAACTAATTGAGGCTATTGGCTGAAGTTTTAAAGATATCTTTGAACTTTAATAAAACTTTTAAAATTAATTCCTTCTTGAGATTGATTTGTAATTGCTTAATTTGATTTATTTTTATATTTTATTTTATTTAATATTACTATTTACTTACCCTATAATCGTAGTCATGACGATTCTCCAAGCTTATATCGCTGTACATGTCTTCGGTTGTATCACAGTTGGAGCTACGGCCCGATGAGTTGAAGCTCGATGATCTATAGAGTTGGCTTTAAAAAAATATACAAAGTTTGTTTAATTTTATGTAATTTAAATTCTTTTAGTTGGTACAAGGTTGCGGCAAATTTTAGGCACACTTTTATAAATATTAACAAATATTACAAATTTGTAGGTATTTTTAACTACTTTTGTATGAAAAAATGACAGAAAATGCAAATCTAATCCAATGATTTATTATAAAAAATAAGCTTATTTAAGCTCAATTACTGCTTATACTATTAAATGCTTTATATTTTGGTTTATTATAAATAAATATTAAAAATTAATTAATTAAATATTTAACTAATAATTAATTAAACAAAGTATTGAAAATATTTGATGGAAAAGATTAATATGTCCCTAAAAACCATCATATATTTCATAGAAAATATTTATATATTTATTTATTTATTTTAAAATTTGGCAAACAAAATTGTGTATCATTTATTTTTGTTTAATACTTTTATTAGTTTTAATTATTTGTTTTTTACCTTGTTAAGTGTATAAAACGTAAAAAGAGCTTTGTAAATTTTATAAGAGCAATCTACATAATATACACCTGTATTATAAGAGTTTGTGTCTTGGCTATTATAAGTAAAACTGTTTTACGAGTTATACATGTAAACAAAGACAACAGGTTTGTAGAGCAATGAAGCCAAAACTGTAAGTTTGAGTTACTTTTAGCAGAGAAATTTACCAATTGTACAATGAATTCAAAACTGTTATATAAGTTTAGCAGAGACTCTACACCAATTGGTCTAAAACTGTTGCATTTTCTTAAAATTTTTATAAGTCTAAAAACTAGTTTTTAATTCCCGTATAAAAAGTAAATTTTTTAAAAGGTTTAAAAATACGTTTTTTTGTTTTAAAAAATTTTACAAAAATGATCAAATTTCTTTTGGATTTTAGATTTGAATATCCTTTAATTTTGTAGAGTTCAGAAATAATTTTTTTTTAAATATTAAGCATTAAGAAATCGTAAAAAATATTATCCTTGATTTTAAAAATTTATAAATATGATTTTATTTTTCATAGTGACATGGATTCCTAATTCCTATTAATTTTTTTTTAATTTAAAATTTATTGCTAGTCTAATAAAATTCTAACTTTAACGTTTCTTTTTAAAATATATTTAAATGAAAAAAGTACAAGTTTAATTAAAAAACACACTAAAATATAGTATTTCCACTCACCTGGCTAAGGCATTTGAACTAATCTGTCTGCGGCCGGAACTGAAAAATACAAATTAAACACAAATGAGTAAATTAAATGGCAATATTTTAAGGCAACCACAAAAACCAACGAAAATACATTAAATGCAATAATGTAACCTTAAACTTTTAATCCAAAACACCTAAAAAACCTACGGAAAGCCTAAAACCTACACAAAAGAAATTCTAGCCAACAAATTAGCTGACATTGAGGAACCCACAAAAAAAATGTGAGGCCAAAAAAAAAAACAAACTACCAATAAAGGCAACTGCGAAAAAGAGACTTGAAAAACAACTTGACGCAGTCGGCAGCCGTCAAACCGAAAAAAAGAAACCAAACACGTGATAATGAAAGAAACAACACTGCCAATAATAGCAGCCAAACCACCCACGCGAGCAGGTAAAAAAAAAACAACAACAAAATTAAATAAATAAAGACAAGAAAAGGCTAGAGGGAAATGGGAAAAGGAAAAGCCAAACTGCAGCCAAGACAAAATAATTGCGAAAGATGCATGTACACAGGCGCAGACAGATAAAGACAAAAACGTAGACGACTAAATTTTCGAGTAAAAGTGGAAACTCAGTGGAGGAGGAAAATGTATGCGTCTTTTTGTTTGTCTAACTGAGAAAATGGGTCAAAGGTGGGAGACATTTTGCAACGACAAAATGCTGAAAAGCCAAATGAAGGGGAAAAACGAAAAGGGAAATGGTAGTGGATGTCGAGATGCAAAGGAAAGTGCCGGAAAAGTGTCTGTATTTATACATTTTAGTTGAGAAATATATGAAAAAATAAGGGATATTTTGGAAAATTTGTTGAGCAATGCAGATTTGGGTATAAACAGAATTTTAAAGGGTCTTTTTTTTATAATGCACAAATACCTAGAAATCATATTTGGTCTTACGAGCCATCTAAACCCAGCGACCTTCAAAACCTTTTTCAAACTTTAATAAAAAATAATAAAGAAATACCTTTATTTATATTTTTAAACTATATAATTTTACAATATTAATCATTTCTATAATAAATAAAATAAAATTAAGAAACCCCAAAAAATTACAAAATAAAAAAAAATACTTTTAAACCCCAACTATTTACCCTACAAAAACTATAAACCCACAACTTATACTAAAAATTAATCTCCAACATTTATTTATGTTTTGTTCTGTTTAAAAAACTAAAAAGCATTTTGCGGTTTCCATTCGAGGTGATCTCACATGGCTCTCACATGGAAAATAACCGGCTTTATGGCCGCGTAAATATGAAAAACCGCAAATGGTTCCGTTTTTCCTCAAATTGAAAACAAGAATTGAAGCAAAATTTGCACAAAACCAGAAAAGTTTGCAAACAAAACGTTAGCTATTCCACTTTTTTTTTTGTCGGCAGCTGAACTCATTAACCCACTTTTGCAGTGTAGTTTGAGCTTAAAAAAAAACAAAAGGCATTCCATGAAAATCTGTCTCATCGTATTACCACTTTAGTTTTATGTTTTTAGTTAATCCTGTGTGTAAAAAACATCATAAAAATTGGCATTGCGTGCTCGTAAAAAATGCAAACAAGTAAAATAAAAAAAAAAACTAAAAACAAGCTAGCAAATTTTTGCAAATTGACCAAAGCCAAAAAGTGTTGGGGGGAACCTGCTGCAGCTTAAAAAATGTTGCGCAATTTTTGCAGCCCAAAAGAAGAAGTAGAAAATGCAAAAAAAATATATATATTTGTGGTTAGTTGGCTAGCTGCTTTTATGAGTCAGTGTTCAGTCGGTCAGTCGTCTGGCATTTTATTGATGCAAAGTGAAGTTGACATTAAAATGCAGCACAAAAGTTGAGACTTTAAATTGGTTTGAAGGCAAAAACCAGTCTGCGGAGCTGTAGATATTTTTATATATTAAAAAAAAATACTCCAGATGGCAAGAATTAGCTTAAAAAACTAAATACAGAGACCATCGGGAAGAGAATTAGTGCTACAAATATGTAAAAAACTAGTTCAGAGTCAGGGAAAACCTAAAAAAAATCTAAAAACTAAGTTCTCCGAAGCAAATAAAATATTTTAAAAAACTTTCAAGGCAAATTTATTTTTATTTTATAATTTTAAAATATTTATTTGCCACATTTCTGCACACTACAACTTAATTTAACATGAAATTTCAACTTGAAGCTTGCATAACCATGGCAAATAATATAACTGCAAGCTATTTTGTTGATTACTTTTTTAGCCGAGCAATAAATTCACATTAAACAAAATAGAAACACAAAAATTACAGTTAATTGTACACACACAAAAAATACGATCAAGGTAATGGCAAGTAATCTCTATGGCAACCCAAAAAATATAAAAAAAAAATGTTTCAAAAAAACTGTTTAAATATGATTAAGGTCGTTGGCAGCATTTTGGAGGAGTGCCGGAAAGGTGTATATACAGGGGAGTGGAACCTGAATTACTGAATCTGAGTCAGTTTTTCATTATATTTGGGTAACCTTGAATTTCGTAGAGGGAGTTGCTTTATAATTTGAATGAAATACGAGACCGGAAGTCATGAAATGCGGTTTTTCTAGAGAGTTTTTTTATATTTCTTTTTTCTTTAGAGGAGTTTTAAAATTTCCCTGTAGAATCTCGGTAGCAATATATCAAAATGTTTTTTTACAAAATATAAAAACCAATTGAGATAAGGTTAAAAACCTGTCAAAGCATTTACCAAAAGCACCTGTTGAATAACAAAACTCTGTCATTCTTTCCCCTCATTCTTTTACGTTTTTTTAACACCACAATTACTACCGCTTCCCCTGTCATCTCCCCTGCTTTATTCTATTCCCTCTCGCATTGCGTTCCGCTTCGTTAGCCCTGGCAAGGGGGGTCACCTGAAAAAATAACAGGTGGGAATGAGGCAGAGAGGGAGCTTACAAAGTTATTTCAATTGTTATTTAGTAATGAAGAAACATATATATAAACATATATAATATATATATATCGTAGTATATATCAAATCACAGAAAAATATAGTCTTCCTTTAAAGATCCCTTTTCACACTTGGTTGTCAGTTAAAAGTCAAGTTAACTTTAGTTAACAACCTTAACTCATTACCACGTCACTTGCATCTTTTAGCGGGCAACTGTTAATTGAATGCAGGGGAAAGTCCCCCTTCCTACCTCCTCTTTAAAAAAAAGTCACCTGACAAAGGGAAGCGACTCATAAAAAAGCCAAGATCTTTAGGCAGAAATGGCAACCAGTTTGCACTTGTTATAGAGGGGCTTAAAATTTAAGTAAAAGTCAAAGGCAAGAGACAGAAGGAAAAACTTTAATGATGGGCGAACCTCGTCGGTGAGGGTCTTCCAAAAAATTAAATAATCAAGAGGTGGCAAAAGTTTCTTGAACTTTAGTGCTTAAAATTCAAAACATAAACACGGTGAGAGAGAGCACAAAATAAACAGACAATGGCTACCAGACAGCCAAAGTTAATGCCACATTATGTTTGCTTTTTTACTGCCATTATATCTTCGAGTTTCTTTTATTTCGACTGTTTTTCTTTTGTTTTCCTTTATTTTTCCTTAAGCCTTTCTTTGGTGCAATTTATGTCTCATATTTGCCACGCCAATCCCCAAGGCGCGTCAATCAATCACGATCGGATTATGCAAAAAAATAAATGAGAGAAAAGGCAAACAGAAAAACAGGTTAAAAATAAGTTAGACAAACACCTGTCCCAGGTAGGTGCGATTTGAGATTGACCCAGATACAAGGCTCTCTCCTTCTCTGGCGGAAGCTTTTTCGGCCATATCTAATTTTTTTTTTTTTTTATATATATTTTTTCTATTGCAGAATTCACTGTTCACGGCGAAACGCCTCAATGCACAGTGGCCAGCGATTAACTGTTACTATTTCAGCGGTGTTGCCAAAGGGTGAAGCACACCTTGCCCACTCACCTGGTACCGCCCCCCCTCAAGCACCCTTTCCTAGTGCAACTTTGGTTTTGAAAACCGCTCATTAAGCGCCTGGGAAGTTCAGCTAATTGAAACTATTAAAAAACCGCTCTTTTTTCTTGTTTTTTGTGGGCCTCATAGACTGGTTTTTTTGAGGCTTTTTATAAGAAAAAAAGAGATGTTTGTTATTTAAATTTAATTATAAAAAAATGTTAAGGGCTTTAATTAAAGTTTTTAAGAAGCGGAGAAAGGGCTGAGAGAAAGATTAATTTTTCATTGTTTTTAATTACATGATTTTTAATATTTTTTTTCTTGTAAAGGTTATAATTTGAGCTAAGAAGCTTTTTAAATGGTAATTGAATAGTTATAATTTAAAACCTTCTAGGGGAAAGTATTTATTAATTAATTATTACAAAACAACTTTATAAATTCGACTTAAAAGGCAAAGAAAATTTCTTAATAGAAAATTAAACAGGAAATGGAATTAAATAATTACAAAACTATAGTTAAAGAATGTTAATTAAAATGTCTAAACATTTTTTAAACTATATTTGATCATTAAATATATTTATAAAATAAATATATATTTTTTAAAGCTCTCAAAACCATTCAAAACCCATCAAAACCACACTATAATAAATAAGAAAGAAATAAACAAGAAATGGAATCACACAAAGAACTAAATATAGCATCAAAATAATATTTAAAATGTCAAAAATTTATTTTAACTTTTTAAAATATATATATTTTAAATACTAAACCCTTTACTAAACACTTAATTTTTCTTCCTTACATTTTCCCTTATTTCTTACAACTTTTACCCCAAACAAACATTTCTTCTTTCTCTTATTTTCTTTAGAAAATACTAAACAAAATTACATGGGGTTAAAAAAAAATGTCGCGATTGTTGCGATTTCCAAAGAAACAATGCCCTGAGCCACCGCAAAACGAAAGAAATTGACGTCTTTTGTGATTCGAGGGACAAGTGAAAGTATTTATGGACATGTGGGCGTTGACTTCTTCGTACTTCTTGGCTCAGAGGGCGTGTCTTTGTGGCTTTCTTAAGAATTAGATATGAATATGAAGGACAAACAACGTGGAATACAACTAAG